ACATGAAGAAATCTTAAGAATAAAGGATCCCTGTATATGTGCGCAAAAATGACATATATTCAAAAATGTCCATATCTAAACAAGACTGAGACTTTTCTAATGATATAGACCATTGAGTGGTTGGATGCAACATGATGTCTTAATTTCATTAGCAGTCTTTTTTCCCCTAGCAGGTACGTGAAAGAATAGTTTGTCTTCCAATGTATTAATACATGTGTTATTTAACATGCTCTAACACACATTAGGCATATCTAAGTACTGGGACTATGAAGGAAACATGCCCTCCATCTCTTATAGATTTCCACAACCTCTGTACATGTAGTTAATAAAAAATGTAGTAAGAAAACAGAACTGCGCAAGATGGGTGGGTACTCCACAGTGGGGAAATCAGTCATATCAAAGCAAATCTCAGAAAAATCTAGTACCTTCTGGGGCATCCTGGAGCATAGGAAGTGATGCTTAGCTGCACAAGACAAAAGGAAGAGAAATTAACCAAGGAGTTGGAAAACAACCCTGTCCACAGAAGAGCAGCCTGTGCAAGCAGCTGAAAGCAGGGAGACCTATGACTAACTGGAAAAACATAGAAAAGTCTAGAACAAGCCAGGCACAATGGTGCATGCCTTCATCCCTGTACTCAGAGCTCAAGTAGAAGGATTATGAATTTGATGCTACCCTGAGCTACAATGTAAGACCCTGTGTCAAAAACTAAACACAATGAAGCCTAATAGAAGCAAATGAAGGCTGTGAGACTTGCCTTCCCAGATCACCACGGGCTGGTGTGTTCACAGTGGTAGTTTGAGTGCAATTGTGCTCATAACATGCAAAGTTGCCTGTAGGCTACAGGAATTTCCTCTGGATATTTTTTTTAACAAGTCATGCAGATGTTTCCAACCCCTCTGTAGACGAATTCCTAAATGGTCTTATTAAATAAAAAACATGGAGCCAAAGATAGGGGTGAAAGCCTTAGAGATCAGGGAAATAGGAATAGCCACCAGGCACCCTTACCTCACCAGCTCTGCAGCTTCCAGATTCGAGCTACTTCCTGTCTTATCCACACCTCTATTGCCTTGCTGTTCTGCCCTCTCATTGGCTATCTTAGACCAGCTACCTCACTTCCTTGTTACTGCCTGTCTGTACAGACCTCCAGGTCTCTATGGTTGATACTGGGATTAAAGGCATGTTTTGTCACCACACTTGGCTCTGTTCCCTAGTGTGGCCTTGAAAACACACACACACACACACACAGACCTTGCCTGCTAAGTGATTAAGGGCGTGTGCTGCCTGACTTTGTTTACTTTAAATGGCTTGCTATTTCCTCTGATCTCCAGGCAAACTTTATTAAAGCACAAATAAAGTATCACCACATTTCCCCCTTTTTGTCTAATAAAAATAATTTTTTTAAAAGTTATAGTATAAGAAAAACTATATACAATAAGTACAATAACTAAATATAATATATACAAGCAATAAATACATCAACAATGTCTAGTCCATTTGCATTGACAAATTCAGAGAAAATATTCCATTATCTATCCTATTTTGGTGAGTCCAAAATGTGTCTAATTCACTTTCTATCCTAACTTGTATTACCACAGAAAACTATCTTATGATTTCTTTCAAACTTATACACTTATCACCTCTTATTGAGTTTCTTTTCTGAATTTCTTAACAAGGAAAATTGTTACTACAACTATCTAATTTTCAACTCCCTCAGAGACCCAAGAAGGAAATAATATTACCTAGTAAAGCAGGGAGTGCAAACAAGCGACTTCCAAAAAAATGTGAGTCAACAGAAATAGCCAGATGCCTGGACAGTTACCCGAAGTTCCTCTGCATGTTGGGGCATCATCTTCTGCCTACACCCCTTTACATGCAAAGGTGCTCTGTACTGCAAGAACTCTGATGTAATTTGGCAGTTTTAGAAACCTGGTGTCCAATACTTAGGAAAAATCTTAATGTTTTCTATCTTGGTCAATGTTGGGTCTAGTTTTTTCTCAGCCTATTTTTAATCATCCTCAGGTTGTACAAGATAGACTTTTATGACAAGAAATGTCAGTTAAATTTAGTTGAAATTATTATTTGACCAATGGTAGCAATATTTAAATTTTGAAAATGTTTCCTAAAAAATTCTGAAACCTTACATACATTATTCATACTATGTATTTATATACATGTATGTTTCAATGTTCATTAATCTACTTGATTATATTTCCACTCCACATAAAAAGATAACACAATAGCAATAAAATCATAACCATGAGGCTTAGAGAGAGATGGCTCAGTGGTTAAGAGCATGTGGCACTCTTGCAGAGGACCTGAGTTCAGTTCCTAGCACCTACCAAACTTGAGTTACAACTGCTTGTAACCCCAAGAATCTGATGTCCTCTTCTGGCCTCCACAGTAATTACACTCCTATGCACATAACCCCTGTATAAACACACACACACACACACACACACACACACACACACACACACACACACACACACACATAATTAGAAACAAAATAAATATTTTAAAGACATAATAACAAACAGAAATTGAGACCATAATAAATTTCAGATACTAGAGTAAGAGCCTGGCCTTCACTCTGATTGGTTCAGGGGGATAAGTTCTGTTACCATCTATACTTTGCAGATAAATAGAAGATGGTGCTTATTTTATTTGTGTTTTTTTGTTTTGGTTTTTGTTTTTTCAAACACTAATAAAGGCCCAGAAGTTTCATCTTTGTGAATTATTGGCTTTATGAGCCTTGGTAGAGCCATTTAGTTACAATGGGTTCTGCATCTAAGTTTACCACAGGGTACTAAAACCAAAATATGATGGTATACATCTCATGATTATTTTAGTGTTAGTGAGAACATTCTCATTCTACTCCTTCATATCTATATCACTATGCTAATTTATGCTAATTTCCTACTATAATATCACAGATTGCAACTCATACAGCTACAGGATTCCTGAAAACCATTGCACACTGCTCCCAATTTGAAGGAACTCTCTGTACACAAAGCTTTACCACTTCCTGGCTCTGCCTCAGTCCTCAAGAAGAACAGAGATCAAGGAAGAAGACATCAGGATGAAAAAGGAGGTGGGCCATTGGATTGAACATCCATTCCAAGGCACAGGTCCCTTGCAAAAGGCATGACCATTGAAGACACTGCCACATCCTGCTCTGTTGTACAAGAATTAAATTTGTTTCATGTTGTGTTGAGAACAAATGCCAAGCACAGTCCAAATACACACAGTGCCCTGTCCTAAGTTGTGCCTTGGAAAAGAACGCAGTCTAATGTAATATCTAAGTAAGGAGAGAGAAAAGCAAGTAGAGCACGGATTACAAAGTAAACATGTTCCTGGAAATGAAACCAACTAGGGACACACAGAAATGGGTTTGCAACCCCTTTCACTCTGGGTTGCAAAGAGTTGAGCAATGTTATTGATTCACCTCCTGCGTGGGTTTGTTTTGCGCCAGAGGGCCTTTGTGGAGATGTTTTGTCCTCTACCCCTATACCTTTGGGGAAACTTCGGGGTATTTTTCTGCCTATAGTCAAAATCTCAGTTGGCTGCATGCATCATTTTTTTTCCTCATCAGTTCCTACTTCAAAATGCTTTAATCCCCCCAAAAATGTGTGTTGCTATGGTGATTCTTTCTGTAGTTGCTAGAAGCTTTTGTAAGATGCAGCCATCCTCTTGTTATATTTCAGTTTTTAGAATTACAGCAAATAAGAAAAAAGTGAAGCCTCACTTGTTAGACTGGGATGTGGGTGCTGAGCAGTTTGGAAGTAAAATGAAGCAGTGTTGGACAGTAGGCATGGTAGAACACAGATCCATGGAGAAGAGAGCTTTGAATGCTGACTGCAGAGTAAAATATTCCTAAAGCTGCAGATGCCACTGCAGAATACAGACCCATCTGTTCCTTTGAGCTTAAATGATCTCAGTTTGCAGGAGCCCCATTAAGTGACTTCATCAACTGAAAAAATGTGTGTCCTTAAGAAACCAGGGGTCAGTAACTATGGCCTATTGGCCAACTATACCTTATCACCCATTGTTGTTGTTGTTGTTTGGTTGGATGTGTGGGTAGGGGAATAGGGGAGGGTGTAGGTGTGTGTTCTATTGTAGAAAATAGTATTTTACTATACAGGGCATAAAATGACTAATATACCACAGAAAGTGCATCACATGTAATGAAATATATATTTTATTTAGCAAATGTATTTATTATGTGTTGAAAATTGTAATGTCTTCCCCAGCACAAAGAAATTTTTGTTATAAAGCTCATTCACTATGTAGGGAGGAAAACTCTTTTTCTAGTTTGTTATAGTAGTCTATCTAAGTATCAGCCCATAGCTGTCAAGTTAACTTTAAAAGGATGACCAGGAATCAAAGAAACTTAGTGGCTATTATTTTTAAAAGCAGAATTCTTCTAGAACACTTTGTAATTCCTGAATTAGGTGATTTTTTTTTCCACCAGCAGGTCAACCTTCCTTGCCTTCTAACAGCTACCGTGAACATCACAATGGACACAGAAAACTGTCGATCTGGAACTCATGTCACCCTTGCATACCTATGGCCTCAACGTCATTTCAGAAAGCTCTGTCCATCTGTTTTCTCTTTCCCCTCGAGACAGGCTTTCTCTTCGTAACAGCCCTGGCTGTCCTCAAACTAAATCTGCCTGCCTCTGCCTCCTGAGTGTTAGGATTAAAGGCATGCAACACCACACCTGGCTCCATCTTTGTTTCATCCTCTAATTTTTGTGTTTATTTTTGGAACAGGTTCTTATGTAGCCCAGGCTGGTCTCAAACTTGTTATGTACTCAAGGATGACATTGAGTTCCTGATCCTCCTCTATCATTCACATGCTGGGATTACAGGTATGCACACCATGCCTTGCCTCTCATCCATTTTTAAATGGAATTAGGGGACGACAAAGAAAAAGACAAATCATCTTTTCCTCCCCAAAGACAATGCCAGTAGCTTCCAATCCCTCTATGATTTCCTTACCTTAACAATAACTTTCTTAATGATGATTTCCTGGAGGAAATTCTTTCAAATTCTGAAAAAGAAAGCATTCAAAACTTAATATATAAAGTGCTATACAAAAAATATGAAAGCTATATTAATCCAATTTGGATTTTCAGATATACTTTTTAGGACAAATATTCATGCCTTATGTAAGACCAAGAACTGGTTTATGATACTAAATCTGTGGAGTGACATCCTGAGGTTGAGCCTCCCACAATCTCACCACCCACAGCACCTAACCCAGAAAGAGCAGGGTGCAGAATTCAAATTAACTCAGGGTAAATAAGATACATATTATTTTAAAAGATGGTGATTAGTAAGTGATAAAAGCCAGCATTTGGAAGTTTAGGAACATCATCTTGATATATTTGTTATCCTTTTTTTATTCTGTTTGAGAGCAGCATGTATGTGTGTGTGCAGTTATATGAATGTGTTACTACTAAGAAAGAAACCATAGATTAAAATGAAATCAGATATTCCTCTCTCAGCTCAGTCTTTTCTCTTTGCATCCCAAAGTGGCTTCTAAAACTTTACATGATAATAGCCTTTTAAATATTTTTCTTCTTTAGAACTCATGTTTCAAAACTCCACCTATCAAATAGCTAAATTTAATGAAGTAGTTATGTGTTTTTCTATTTCTGCTCAATAATGAACATGTATGTAACTATTCATCCCTTCTTCCAAGAAGCTTATAATCCTTAGACTATCGTTATGAGTTGACATAATTTTCACACGAAGACAAGAGTTAAAGTTTCAGCCACAAACTGCAGCATCTTCCTTGTCAGGAAAAGATATACAGTTTCCATAAGTTTGCTTTAAAACTTAAATGAACTTTAAAATGAACATTGCCTACAGGTCTTTGTTCCTGAGGCTGTGAATCCCCCAAAGATCTCAAGACACAGCTAAGAAATAAGGCTCCAAGACATGGAGCTGGGTTTCTCAACCTTTACTCACCTCAATATCCAGGAGACACAATCTACTCTCACAAGGAGCTCTTGATCAGTGGTAGACTCTGTCCATGTTGCCCACCCCAGGCAAGAATGAGCTAGATTCCTGGAAAAGAAAACCCAGCCTTTGAGCAGAGAGGACGTATCTCTTGAAAATGTACCACAGGCGACTCTAAAATGACTCCCTTAGCTGAAAGTTGACTGGGGGTAGGGACAGTTGCATAATTCCTGGATAGAAAAGGGCTTGTATGAAATCAAGTGCTTTATATGAACTTTAAATGTGGCTGGATTAGTAAAGAAATTTTTAGGATATGGATGATTTCCATTCATTTTCTATATTTTGAAAGACCAAAGTAACATCTTCAGTCATTTTTGAACCCAGACCACTCAGAGAAATCTGCTCTCAAATTTGTAAAGGCTGAGTTTCATAGGTTTGGCTCCTGTCCCATTGATGAGCTAACAAATGCTACTTAAACACTTTCAAAAACTACAGAAGTGTTAGTGGTGTCTCAAACCACTAATCTAGCGTGCAGGGCTCTGGGAGGCTAAGACAGGGACCCCGTCTCAAAAAGAAAGAGAGTGGAGACAGAGAGAGAGAGAGAGAGAGAGAGAGAGAGAGAGAGAGAGAGAGAGAGAGAGAGAGAGAGAGACGCAGACAGACAATGATATAGGAAAGAGGGATTTCAGGATATGTAGCCAAATTAAACTGCAAGTTCCTCTGCAGAAGACTGTCATCTCAGCTCCTGGGTGGCCTTTTTCTTTGCAGGAAGGAACTATGAATTCAGACACTATGATAAAACATGAGGAAACACACTGAATGTGGGAGGCTAAACTTATTGTCCCTTCTCCATGATAATGAAAAACGCCTCCCACACTCCCAAAGATAGCATTCCAAATGAAATGGTAAACGTAAATGCACCAGTATTTTGGAAATGGTAGTCTTGGGCATATCTGAAGTTGATTTTGTTGAGCTTTGATAATCTGCCAAAGCCCTCCTCGTTGTTTCCAAGGAGCTTATTATTAGCTGTACTCAAAGTGCATGGCCACCTTGAATACATTAGGGTAATCCCTGCAGCTTTATCTTTCAAAAGATTTGGAGCCAGAGTTTTGGCTAATTTTATTTCCAGTAGAAGTCAAACCCTGCCAAAGATCCAAACTTGGATTCATTCCCAAAGCCAACCCTGCTTATTCTGAATGCATTATTATCTTTCACAGTAGAATTTTGCCAAACATGAGAACTGTGCAAATTTTTAACTATTCAGCTCATGGAATAAGATCCAGGTAGTTGATAATTTATACTTTAGGGACTAAGAAATGATAAGTACAGCAAGGGCCCAAGAAAAAGTAGAAGGGCTCATGAACAAAACTGAGTTCCAGGAAGCTAATGTATCATATGAATGTCTTTAGGTGTCCATCCAAATAACAAAGAGACTAGCATTGAAATAGCTTGTGTCTGGGGGAACTTATTTTGTCCTACATAGATAATGTTGCTAGTCTGTTTTCCATCTCTTTGACAAAATAGCTGAGATAAATCAGTTTAAGGGAAGAAAGGGTTTTTTTGAGCTCATGAGTTTAGAGGTTTTCATCTATCAGTTGGTCCCCTTACACTTGGGGTGTACTGTGGAATAATCCTTCTGAACACTGTGAAGATGTGTTGCTCCAAAGTTGGTTGGCCCATAGCTAGGCACAATTTGGGGGAGAGGGGGGCAGAGAGAATGCTGGGAAGAAGGAGGGCGGAGCAGGAAGAGTCACAAGCCAGACTCGGAAGAAGCAACATGGGAAGTTCATTGATGAGGCAAACAAGCCTCAGTGCAGCACATAGATGAATAGAAATGGGTTAATTTAAGTTGTAAGAGCTGGCTGGAGACAAGACTAAGCTATCAGCTGATCATTTATAACTAATAAAAAGTCTCCATATAGTTATTTGGGAGCAGGCTGGCAGGACAGAAAAGTTCGTCTACAGGGGTGTGGTAAGGTAGCAGCACACCATATTGGGGAACACATGGTAGGCAAAACCTGTTCATTTGCTGGTGGCTGGACAGCAAAGAAAGAGAAGAAAGGGCCTGGGTCACAGTATCTGCCCAATGGCACACCCCTCAGTGACTTAGCTTCCTTGCACTGGGCCCCACCTCCTATAGGCTCCACCATCTCCCAGTAGTACCACAAGCTGATAACCAATCCTTTCACACTTAAGCTGCTGAGAGAGACTTGAGATCCAAACTACAGCAAGAATATAACTGTATAGCATTAGAATAATGACTGACCAAAGAGGAAATAGAAAGATTACGGTTAATATGATAATTAACAACACCTGGAGAACTGGAACAGTTACTAATTGGCTGCATTTTTCAGGTCATATGAAAGCAGGCTAAGAAGGATCCAAAAACAGTTAATACATTATCAAAAAACTTACACAAGAATGAGGAGTAGTTCCTCAATGAGCTGTGGTGAGTCCCAAGAACAGAAAAATTATCGAAATCAGAAAGATGGGTGTTGGTTACACATCCACCATTGTGCTGTTCTTTGATATGCCAAGCTCTCAAGCACAAGACAAATGCAAACCAGTTAAAACAAAAGGCCAATGATTATGCATAGTGAAGTTCAGCAAAAATAAAGGCTTATTGAGTGGTTAATAAATGCCTGGCTATGAATGTTACATTGTATAGTAAAAAAAAAAATGATGAAAGGAAATGATTCAGAAGATTGAATATAGATCAACGTGACCTTCTGTATCTGAATCCAATGGAGGAATTATTAGAGGTAATCAAAGTGTGTGCAGGATTTGAGAGTGGGGGTGTCTATTGCTAATTCCTGATGACCATGACAGCTAATATAGTATAGAAGGTTAATTACCCACCAAAGTTGCTGGGGTATACAGAAGACTCTAGGAAGTATCTTCACAAACAGAGTCCATTTTCACCCTTTCTCAAAAGTCAGTGGGTGCAGACTGATCCTTGTTGAACAGGGCTATTGTACTTGTAAGACATGGCATCTCTTGTATTGAGCTGCTAAATAGAGTTTTCAGATTTGCAGGAGCAATTGAGTCAGATCTGGATCACAAAATAGCATTTTTGCCCCCTAATCTTTTTTCATGCACCCCTAAACAAATATCCCAATTCCACTGAGTATTCTGTAGTGGTCAGACCATTTGTCAAACAGGAGTAGCAATGTCACTTTTGAAAAATTGTCTTCTGCTACACGATTTGTGAATTTGGTCACAGAAATGATCACAATGACTGGACTGATGTTTCTGCTGTTGGGAAGTGCTTGCTCAGATCTCTGGGAAAGAAAGCATCACTGTTTTTCTCCTCACTGATGCACCCATACATAGGTTCACTTTCCTCCTTTTCCCCCTTTAATTCTTCTGCCATCCATGCCTAATTTAATAATCTTAATATCTGTGGAGAATAATTTTATAGAGAGCTTCATTTTCAGTTGCAGATATTATAATAGTCAATTCAGAAATTTTCAGTTCTGATGAATTATTCACAACTTACAAAGTGAGTATTGGCTTGGATTTGGTTATGATTATATTGCTTGTTCTGCTATGTTTAAAATATAGGGGACAGAGAAATCACTGATGTCATCTATTGGAAAATATCACTGTGAGGCTGATTATTTAATGAGACAGCAATAAGGCTGCCTTTAGACTTAGGGTGACTCATTTATGTTATATATTACACAAATCAAATTTCTCTTGTACCTACTCAGCACAAGTTCAGATTTATGCCTTTAATAAATGCACAGCAGTGATCAGGCTGCAGATTTGAGGACTGACAATATACAGAACTCTCCCTTTGGGTACCATTCACCTGAAAGCCATAGAGGAGAAGGCTGTGTGGTCCCCACAGAGTAAAGGTATCATCCAGAATCCTACTGGGTGAGTCCACAGAGGAATAGTCTTCTTCTGAGGAACTGGGTTGTTAGCAAATCTATCATCTTGGTGACTAGTTTTGTTGGCTATGTGCTGTAGAATGTCAAGTAATGACACCATCTTCACCTTTTGAATGAAATATCCCCTTCATGTATTTGTCGAGGGAGATAGAAACAGAGTTCCATGTACCCAGGCTGGCTGGAGCTACTGATCCCCTGCCTCCACTCCTCGAGTGATGGGATGACAGGTGAGCATCTCTAGACCTGGCTAACACTTAGATTTCCAATTCTACCTGGAAAAGAAATTTCATTGTCTTTCTTTACCAATATTCCTATCATTTACAGATAAAGAGTTTCTATTGGTGCCTAAAGTCCCAAACTTCCCAAGGTAGATAGATAATCCCGTGTGGTCTAGCGGAAAATGTTTTTCTAGCCCCTCCCTCCTTCCTCATCAGCCACAGAAGCACACTACCACATGTTCAAACCTCTACCCCAAACCTTCGAGCTGCTGCCACTTACCGTATATATTCTGGTATATACTTATTTCAGTTTTGAGATTGAATACCATTGCTTCCAGAAAGCATTCTCTCCAAGCTTTGATTCCCTGAGGAAAAAAAAAAAAGGCTGGCTTGGAAATCATTCTGCTAGAACTTTCAGTGTCCTGGTAAGTTCAGTATATACGGGAGAAAAGGTGAGAAAGCAGGACTGTGAAGAAGTCTCTAGTAAAATTTCATAGAAACCTCAGCTGACCCACTGGCAAGTTCTGAAACTGACCTTAAACAATACTCCAGTTGGGAAGAGTGGGTCAGACTGATGTCCAAGGTCAGCGTAGGTACTGCCTCCACAGTGCCAAAACCTTCAGTGAGGCAGTGCCATCCTAAGACAGCACTAAGGTGACCTGAAGCTGAGGCTTAGTGCTGGTAGAGTGTCAGCCCTTCAGTCCAGGGGCATCCCCGTCAGTACACCACACAGCACTGCTATAGCCACATCTCACTCCACTCAGATTCACTTCTTCGTTAGCTTAAAACACATCAAAATTTTATAAGATGAAAATAAAATACTACATAGAGGAAAACAAAGGTTCTTACTTGAAAGCTATAGAGATCCACCACTAGTAGATAAAAGATTTGTAACTCCACGGAAAGGGAGACTAAAAAACAGGTAAAATGTCAGAATCATATTGTCAGAACTCTAGAAAACAGTAAAGGTTTAGTTTACATTAAATGTAGGAATGATCAGCCAATCAGAAGGCGTTTCATACAGAAGGAGAGGTTTCTACTGTTTTAACTTCCTCTCACCCAGTGTAGCTCAGCGGGTTTCTAGAAATCCTGTCTTTCTGATATTGGCCCCAGTGGCCAGCAGCAGTAGAGCAGACCTTGTCTGTCTGTTTAGACTTGTCTAAGAGCTCTCTGAAGAGGGAGCAAGGGATTTATATTCATCTCACTCAATTTAGAACTTTCTCAGAATAGAAAACTGGTTATACAGAGATCATTAAACAAATAAATAGTATGTTAAATCTTGAAAAGCAAATAAAAAGGCTTCTGTCACTTCTGGCAAAGTGTAATAGTTGGAACACAATGATCATCCAGATCATAGGAGAAAGGCTTGAGTAAAGATGCTAACAAAATAGAAAGCAAATATATGGTGTATTCAATGTGAAAGAGTGGGTGGAGTATTAGGTCATGAAAATGGATATTATTGTGAGTCCTATAGACAAGTTTTAAAATTTGTAAACATGAATTCTTCAATCATATTATCAGAATAGACATAGCAAGTGTAAATAATAATAACCTGAACGTATTTTAATATTAATCAAGTCAACAA